TCAACAGCAGGACATCCTAGATCTGCGAGCCCTGAATAAAAAGTGTCAGAGATTTAATTTCACATATTTTATCTGCTGGCATCAGTTTGCTTAATTACAGAGAAAAACGCTAGTTTTTGATAATTAACACTTTTCACCGTGAAGCAAGCATCTCACAAATCTGGCTCTCGAACCGAAAATGTCCGAAACTAAATTTTACATATTTTATCTGCTGGCATCAACTTCGTGGCGATCTGCAATCACGGACTGTTGGATATGCTTTATTCCCTTGACTCAAAGTCTTGGGTCATACAAACGAAATGTCCGTCCGTCCGTCCGTCCTTCCGTGTAGAAAAAAATGAAAAAAAGTGAGTCAAAAACGTGATTGCGTTACGTTTGGACAAGCTGTCCAACCAGAAGTTGAGACTACTCCTTTATTTTCAATTTTCATGCTGGCAAAAATTAAGCAAATATTTTGTACAGCAACTTTCTTTTCACCCACTATGTGATCAAATACAGTTATTAGTTTAGAGACACAAGCAAATTTTCGTCAAATATACTCTTCTCCGATATCACATTCCAAGAACCAGAACAGAAAAGAACAAGAAAGAAAGAAAAGAAAGATCTCTCTCAATATGTCGAAATAAAGTAATCAGAGAAGGCAATTTGAAGTAAAAATTAAAAAATCCAAAATTAATATATTCTAAATTAATATTCCAAACAGTTTTTTTTTTACCTCCGCGATACATGATCTCTATAAGTCGAGTGACAAACAAAAATAATTTGATAAAGAGTCCCTGTTCTTTTCACTGACTCTTTCACTTCATACAAAAAAAAAAGCGGGTTAACATACTTACCACGAATTTTTATACTCGAAATGGAATCACCTTCGACTGCTCGTCCTAAGAAAAAACAGTCGTGGGCACGTCGTTTTTTTAAACTCTCTTTCAACGAGATTTTGACTGTGTTATGTGCTGCAGCAGTACCAGCAGCAATCCTCACCTACACGATTGTCGATAGTAAACAGCAGTCAAAGGAGGCCGATGAAAAAAGGGAGTTTGATTTGAAACTCGCAGAGAAATTACGTCAACAAAAGGTCTACGATCAGTTCATCAGTAACATGTATCAGTTGGACCGAGATAATCAGTTGAACGAGTCAGCACGTCCTTGGGCTTTTCCAAATGCACGGTATAGAGCAGCACACCACCAACTCAATTCAGATCTCAAAGTGCAGGCACTCATCTTTCTGAAAGACAAACAATTGATTGGTCGTCAGTGTGGTCAAGAAGATGTCATTCGACTCAACAAAATGGATTTTTTGAGTGTGATCTACAAAGGATGTACTGTGGGCAGTTAGGTGGAAGTTAAGTAAAAATTCGGCTGTTCACTTTTTTAAGATTATAGTCAGATCATTCAGTGTACGACCTTTTTAATGGAGGAAATTTCTGTCTAGTGAATTATCGATCGAGAAATGCATGCAGGTTGCAGGTAGTTCTAGAATTTATAGTTTTCTCCCGGTGATAAACCGCAGCAGACATCTTTTCGAGATATATTTCCCGATGCAAAAAATGCGGCCAGTCCTATCGTATCAAAGAATTATGTGGCCAATTTTACCACTTTTTGCGAAAACTTTAAATTTTCGTTTTTTTTGAAAAGGACGGTTAACAGCGAGCCTGTTTTAATCGACGACGCCGACTTACACCCCCATTTAAACTCATTGATTTTTGCACCAAAAATGATCGTCTCAGAGTCATGCATCTGCATTGCATGCACAAAAATCCACATCTTCATCCCGGCAGAGATGCTAGTGTTTTAGAAACCATAAACAGTGACAATTTTAAGAACATTTTTGATGCGCACCAAAAACAATTTCATTTGGATTGGCGAGATGTTGCTGTGGTGATGTTACTACTAATTGTTGGCTGTGCGTTGATCTATCTGTTCGTTCGGTATTCACTGAAGAAGAAATGGAAACAACTCCAGTTGCTCTTATCATTAGTAAAACATTCCGTTCAACAGCAGCAACATGTGACTGAACAACAGTAAGTATATACTGTTTCAAATGATCATTTACGAATTCCAATGATGCAAACGCGCTACGAAGGATTGGTTTCATCTGTCCGTCGCCCTCTATAATCGTTGTTTAGTTCTCATGTAAGTATGTGCGCGACAGTACAGTAACGTCTGTTCATTAATTCAAGAAGTCGTTGATGTCATTCCATATTTTGATAAAAGTGGTGTCAACGATTAGTTTGCAAATTTGCTTCGGAAAGCTGGAGAATTAGAGTTAAATACATAACTCGTGTTGTATTACAGGCTTAACTCCACAGTCTGCAGTTCACATATCAGTCTGCCGTCCTAATTTATTTGTCGTTACTTATTGATATTTTCTATATCATCTCCTCGAGCATCCATTACTTCTCTCTCTCTTCTTCTTTATCATTTTTTCATTTCTTACACACAAATGCTTATTTCAATTTTTCTTCACATCCTAAATTGATTAATCCTAAAGCTTGTATAATTTGCCAGCTATTACCATTTTTTCCACTAATTACACAACTTAAATTTTTATTTGTAGAAACTGCTAATATACCTGGCGAAATACGTACAGTATATGGAGAACTATAAGCCGTAGGTTTTGAATAACACTTATGTATACCTGCTCCCGCCACAATTTGTTCAAGATATTCGTTTCCTATTTGCTCATGTGTTACTGGAGGATTTCTACAAACGATATATTTTCCCCAATTACAAGCAATCGGACGAGGTTCACTAATTCATTCCATATATGAACCATCTGCAGTTAGAGAAAAATACTGTGGGCAAACTATTGGTTACAAGGGCTTTTTTCGCGGTGAACGATAGAATAGATTTGAGCACGTTTGTCTGATAGTTTCAGTTTGGCAAAAAAACTTATAAAAACAAGATGGCCCATCTGTTTTGGAACAAATTTATCAGCTTTACTTGGAGAAAATGTATCGTTTGTAGGTTGAAATCGAACTGTCTGTGCAAAAAGCATTCTCGTAGTAAACGTAGCTTTTGATTCTTCGGTATTAAGTACAGAATTTTTAAGTTGGTCATACGCTAATTCAATCAATTCATCCTGCGCATGCATACCTAAGAAGTCAAAATTGAGATCAGTAAGTGAAATAGACTGTTTTAAACGTTTGAATTTACGCTCAATTTCTTTGTCAACATTATAATATATCAGTTCGTCTGCAACATCTTGAATATTCTTCATTTTGATAACTAAATCTAGAGTCGTCTTTTCTAGATTTTGTTGATTCAATTCACTTTGATCGAAACGTTTAGCTAGATCAATTGTAGTAGCAGTTACGTTGTACAATGTTGACTGCATTGTGTTAAAATGAAAGCCCATTTCTGTCAATGTATGTACAACTTGTGATAGACGAGATGCTAATTCAGAAGTTTTATATGCATTATCAACGTTAAAAATGCCTGATACCAAAGCAGCTAAACAGCCTATTCCACCGACTACAAGAGGAATTAACGGAAGTATTCGTTTTGAACGATGATGCGTTGAATTAGTAAATTCTTCAAATGTTACATTATGTGATGTATCCGAATGTTTATGAGAATTTTCTTCTTTACCTTATGATAAAATACGATTCTTATATTCTTCATACATGATTAGTTGTGATGAATTTTCTATAGGTATAAGGGAACACATGCGTTCTGTAATCGGAACCGATAAGGCCAATGCAAATAAATCTTCTACTTCATAATAATCACCGTGACGAATCAATACAACATCCGATGTCTCATCAACAATTAATGGTTCTTCAGACATAATATGGTTAAAGATCGAATCTTTATTATTTTCAATAACAGGAATAGTAATACATATTAATATTGTTATTGTTAATAAGGCCATATTTGACATGGAATCAGTAAGGACCTTTAGACGAACATAGAACAATAATAATTATCAACAGATATATTTTCAACAGCGAATGAAATTTTTTTCTTCAGTTGTGAGAAGAAAAGTTTTTTTCTTAACTGTACAAAACAAATTTTTTCCGAACGTTGGTGTGAAGTGATTAACAGCTTTATTCCCGCTGAGTAAAATCTGATAGTACGGGGAAGAATATGACAAAAAAATACGTATATATTTAAACTTCACAATAATCAACTGAACACTCCCTGCATCGTTCACTTAGTGATACAACCTGTCAAAAATATATTATAATTTAATTGCACAGTATAACACTTTCGTGTCAATTTAATTACTTTCGTGTCATAAAAAAAGAAGAATGTTGATGGAAAGTCATGATGATCTTCAGGATAAAGATAAACAACTTAGGTGAGAAAATTTACTAAAAAGAGCGCTCTGCTTCATTTCCTTAAGTTTTAACTTAAGCGATTTATCTCTTTTTTTCTCAAGTGTAACCAGGAATTCATTAGATAAAGAAACAGAGCATATGAGTGATAGTGATATCCAGGATGAGTCGCAAACCGGCAGCGATTCTTTTAACCAATCATCCCAAAGTGCCCAAGAAAGTAGTATTAGTTCATCAAGCAGTAGAAGAAGTACGCGTGTCTGTAAGCCGAATAGTAGATACGGAGAAAAAGATTTTGTTTTACAAAATACTACAGTTAGAGGTGAATCTTCCGGAAATCAACACCATTCTTGTGCAACAACAATAATAAAACAACCTACCAGCACCACTTCTTCTCAATCAATACTGCTTGCACATCGTATTCCTTGGCCGACATGGAAAGTTCGAGATCATCGTTTTGGTGATAAAAAATATACTATTACCAATACCTGTGCTTTGGATTGTGGTTTGTATGCACTTGATGCACTTTATAAAATTCGAGACTAACAAGAAACGAAATCCAAGCAAATGCTTCAGTATATACAACTTTGCGAAGAACGTTTCGTATTGTTGGTGAGTAATCTCTAATAACTTACCTGCCCGTCGTTATTCAAAACTTTTAGATTCCAATGGGTGAAATAATGCTAGAATGTATTGGATTTTGAAACACGATTTGCTGACCGATGAAAAAAAACCAAAGTAAAAGATGTTTATGACCTTTTTGGTTTTTTGGAAGAAACTGTTTTTCGCCATGTCAAACAAGTACAATCATTTACCGGTGGTAGTCGATGTTCAAACACAGCATGTTCCAAAAAATCAACTACAGTCACTGGTGATCAAATTTTTCTAAAGCCGTAAGCTAAAAAGAGTCTTTTCCCAATTACAGCTGCTAATACAGGTCCTTTTCTAGAGATCCGAATGGTATCTATCCAGCAGTTTTGCCTGAATTTATGAATACGTATACTGGACAATGTGGAGCGGTTGTCTCAGAAAGTTATGGTGGAAATGTGTCTGAAAGCGATATGCTGATAAATGGAGTCAGAAAGTATGAAACAGAATGTGCATGATTTATAAGATTATTTTTGGTTTAGTTAGAATAAGTGCTCAGCATGTCAGATACGTAGAGGTAAAGAAAACAAAGTACAGCTTAAGACGAGACAGGGTGCCTAAACTATATG